ACTCTTGAATTAAAAAAAAAAAAAAAAAATTTAAAAAGAGCGTTTAAAAATATTTGTAAAAAAAAATAAAAAATAGCTATTCATGTTTTTTTTTTTTTTAATTTTCTTCTTAATTTCATAATTAATAACCGAATAAAGTGGGAGGTTGAGTGAAGTTGAAAATAGATTCGAAGTTGATATGAATCTATCCGGCAGAGTATGTATGTACTAAAACTTGATATGAAGCTATTCCAACAATTCGCATACTTCACCAACCTTCTAAGTCAGTCCCAACTCTCACATACTTCACCGACCTCCTAAATCAGTCACGGCTATGGTAGGAACATTCATAACCATCCTAGCAATATTATTTCTCAATAAGAGTCGGATCAAATAGACCTTGCAGTGTAACCGTTAAAGAGAGAGATGACCTATTAATTTTTTTTTGTGTCTGACTAATGATATCGAGAGAATAGATATTTTTGCATAGTTACACTTTAAAATTTTCATTTTAACTTTTCTTTTCTTTGTTATCATCTAAAAATTAATTATAATACTAGGTCTAAGAACTACCATTTTAAGAAAAAAAAAAAGAAAGAATTTTATTAAAATTTTAAACTTTAGTAATTTATTTTTTATTTTTTATTTTTTACAATTTTAGTTTAAATACAAATAATAAAATTTTGAAAAGATGAATTTATTTAAAAGATAAAAAAAATACAATAAATTGAAAACCCTAAACCCTTTCATCTTCTGCTTACTCCTCCACCGTGCACAGCCGTTTCTCTTCCCCACATTCGCACTGTTTTTCGTTGGTACTCTACCTCGTGCGCGGCGCCGTCCTTCACCGGTAATACGCAGAGTTTCTCTTCCCCACATTTGTTTTTCGATTCGCACCTCGTTGGTACTGTTATTCTTCCGATCTTGTAGAAAGGTATGTTAGAGTTGTTTCGACACACACATTTTTTTTTTAATAACGAGCAAAATAGCAACGATTGCGGCAAATTGGGACTTCTCGAACTGCAGCGTGCGTCTAGCTTTTGATTTATTGAATACATTTGTCAATTGAGCTAATCTGTATATCTTTTATCCTCTATTGAAATATCTTGGTCTGTGCATTGGGAAGATGAAACGGAGTTAGTTTCTAGTGTAGATTTTAGGGTTTGTAAGGATTTGGAATTCTTTCCCTATTGCGTAGGTTCTCTTCCTGCTTGGATATGACGTCAAGACCAGAACTGCAAGCTCCTCCAGAAATATTCTACAACGATGCTGAGGCTCGGAAATATACTTCATCCTCTCGTATCATTGAAATTCAGGTAGGCCTACCAATGATCTTTAAATAATGTGTTTTCTAGTCTCAATTTTGATCTTAGGAACTGGCGGTAACATGTATCTAGCTCTAAAAGAAAAGTCCAGATATTGAAAAGTGTTTGTAACTGGTAAATTTAATTGAGACTACTGACTTTGTTTTGGACTTTCAGAAGTAGGGTGCTGGGTCTTCTAGAAAATTAGAAGTGTTTTCTCCATGCTATATGAGTTTGTTTATTTGTTTTTTTGGTGTATAATGAAGGCAAAAATCACAGATAGAGCGTTGGAGCTTCTTGCCTTGCCTGATGATGGAGTGCCCAGGTTGCTTCTTGATATTGGTAATTGTCTTTCTCCATGCATACGATTAGTCTTCAAAAGTTGAAATCGAAAGCTTCAAGTGCCTATCTCTTATGGGTTTCTGAAATAGTAAATCGTGGATAATGGGATGGGCATGAATAGTGCCACAAACTATTTCACTTTCTTGCTTTTTTTGTATTTCTTTATGTAACTTTAGAAATGGATGGAATTACTTGATTTGTTGATAGACTACAGCAAGTTCTCATGCTTGATAAAAGATAATTGGACAATACCATGCTTTTCAATTTGCGTTCAGATTCCATGCCTCCATATTTGTTTGTAGTTTCGAGTTCTTGTATGCCTTTGAAAAGATTACACTGAACATATATGCTCTTCGATTACTTCAGGCTGTGGATCGGGTCTTAGTGGGGAAACATTGACTGAGCATGGTCACCAATGGATTGGTTTGGATATCTCTCAATCAATGCTTAGTACGTGAATGATTGACATTAATCTGAATATATGGTCAGATATATGGTTACTTCTAGGAACTTCCTTCTTTTGCCTTCTTAAGAATGCTCTTTTTAAAAATAATTCAGATGTCGCATTGGAGCGGGAGACCGATGGTGACCTTTTACTTGGTGACATGGGTCAGGTACTTCATTTGTGAGAATGTAATCTAACGAGTTTTCATATTTTCTGTCCTTTTTTCTTTTTAAAAGGCATCCTAGTTTATTATTAGTGGACAAATTTAGTTAAAAGAATATAGATCTTCTCTAGTGGCATTCAAAATCTAGTTACAATATGAGAGGAAGGTTTATTTTATTTTAATAAGATTCCTGCATCACGTGTTCTTTTATTCTGATGCAGGGCTTAGGAATACGTCCGGGAGTTATTGATGGGGCTATTAGCATCTCTGCCGTTCAGGTTTACTACTTTGCTTTTGTTTTGTGGGTATTGAGATGAATTGAGAGATCATTTTCATCCTACATTTGTTGTGGGTTAAGTTTAAACTTTATCCAAATGTTTTAAATTGCAATGTTAGCAAGATCTTGCCTCACTCTTTCTGGTTCTTACTTTCATTTTTGCTTGACCAATTTATTAGCATTGGGATTTTTAAGTGCATTTCTTAAATTATTAACTAGGTATTTATTAAAGTAATTTGATTATTTAACGAGCATGTCTTAAGGCTTCTGCAGAGGTTCTCCCTGATTTATCTTACTAATTGATCTTCTACCTTTTATTTATTTATTTTATTTGGTATAATTGTACAGTGGTTATGCAACGCTGACAAGTCCTCTCATAATCCGCGACTAAGATTGAAGTATGTCTTACAAATTTCTCCCCGTCTTTTAAGAATAACCTGCATGCCTGCTTGAAATATTGACAGATGAATTTGATTCACAAATGAAACTGGCATTTACTGATCTTGTTCTTTCTTTATATTTCTTATCTCGTTAAATTATTTTTTTTTCCTGCTCAAATCATTCTAGGGCGTTCTTTGAATCACTATACAAATGCTTAGCAAGGGGCGCACGAGCAGTGTTGCAAGTTTATCCTGAAAACGTGCACCAACGTGAATTGATTCTAGGTTTTGCTATGCGCTCAGGATTTGCTGGTGGTGTAGTCGTTGATTACCCACACAGGTATATGCTACATTTTTTAAAAAAAAAAATAAACATTCAAATCTTTTCTACATTTCCTTTTGCTGATCTCAAGTTTTCTTGTTCCTTTGATTTTATGGTCCCTAATGAAATTGTATGAATGCCGTTTATGCTATTTTTATTCTCAAAGCAAAAGCATTGATAGATGAAGCAAAAAGAACAAAGTGGAATCTCAGATGATGTTGCATTTTTTGCTTGATTGAGTTGATTATTGCTATATATATTCGTTAGTTTATGAGTAATCTTATGGGAATCTGGATGGATCGCTAACTCTGAAGCATGATATGAATTCACAGTGCAAGGAGTAGAAAAGAGTACCTGGTGCTTACTTGCGGTCCGCCATCCATTACTTCGACTGTTCCGAAGGGAAAAGATGGAGATTACGAGAGCTGTTCCGATGATGACAGTGGCGAAGATGAAGAAAATCAAACCGTATGCTTTCATGCTGCCTATTTGCACTTTCTTTACGGAATCATTGCTTAGGTTATGGGCATAATAGTTAAATCTTTGAAGGCATTTGTTGTTATAAATTCATTGTTGGGATGGTAGGTTCGTATGGCAGCACCGAGGAAAAGGCAGAAAATCAGAAAGAGAGGCAAAGGAAGAGAGTGGGTACTGAAGAAGAAGGAACAGATGAGAAGAAAAGGGAATGCTGTGCCGCCTGATTCCAAATACACGGCTCGTAAACGCAAGGCCCGTTTTTGAATGTTCATACATTCATCATTTTTGTTCTTGTGAGAAATTATTTAAAATATTATATATGGAGATTAATCTTTTTGTATTGAGCTTTGATTGAATTTTGACATTTTTTTACCATATATAAGTGTATATGGTGAATGCATTGAAGGCAGAATGAGAGTTTTCGGATCTACCATGTATTAGTTTTACAGCAAAATGTATTTGGTTTGTGAGGAATTAAGTGCATTTATTTGATCTACTTTATATAATGGAGTATAGCAATGACATAGATACATTAGTCACACACCAATTTATTTATCTAATTAATATATACATAACCAACCTTCTTAATAAGTATATACAATAATTATATTTGTTGAAGACTGAGTCTATAGAAAATTGAATTTTGTGGGATCGAAACAAGGAATTCAAAGAGCACTTTTTGATCTGTTTGTTTAATGTTTGTTGCCTTCTCAATCTCGACATAAACTTAGGTCATTGCCAACGTCTTACAATTGAGTATGGCTCAAATAATGTTAATATTACAATTGGGTATATCTGGCGTTAAAATACAAATTAAAGTTCTCACGTGACACACGTGGTACCCATTGATGGACGCGACAATGAAACCAATATAACGGTGAAAATGCGTAAATACGTTCCGATGAACCCCCAGTCCCTATCTTATCCGATCTCCCAACGAAGAAAAAACATAAAAAACACCGCGACCTCCTTCATCATCTACACTCGTTGTCTTCTCCCACTTTCTACCTCTTTCTTCCACCCGTCTCCATCTCAGACCTCACTTCACTTCTGGAACACCCATGGTTGGACGAGGAGGAGGAGGAGGAGGAGGATTCTTTCTTCCATGTTTCGGATCCCGGATGCCCGATTCCGAACCCGAACCCGAACCCGATCGCGACCCGGTTCTGCTCGTCTCCGGCATTGGCGGCTCCATCATTCACGCCAAGAACAAGAAATTCTTCGGCTTACAGACCCGCGTATGGGTCCGAATCTTCTTGTCTGACCTGGTGTTCCGTGAGAACCTCATTTCCATCTACAATCCCGACACAGGTCCTTACTCATTCTTTCCAATTGTCTCTCTATGTTTGTTTGTTACCTTTTATATTTCAGCGTTTCTGGTTGATTCGGCAGTGATGGAACTTAGGTGGGTTTATTTTATTCCATCTGCACGTGTTTTGGGGTTCCTTTTAGGGTGGGGCAAATTTCAGACCACCTTTTCCTCTTCCTTTTACGTTATGTTCCCCACTCCTTTTCTTAAAGCTGCTTTTAATCAAATTTTGTGTTTTCTTTTGCTTTCAGAATCATATCTCGAATGTTTCTTAGATCATTATGATATTTTTTGTGCATAAAAAAAAAGAAAAAAAAAAGGGAAATAGCTTATAGTTGTCTAAACAATTTCTTATTTTAGCACCATTCTGTTTACCAACTCAAACTGGTGGTAGGAGAATGATGAACACTCAAGACTAAACTAAACTACTACAGTGTTCCCTTCTATTAATAGCAAACTAATTGTTTTTGAAAATTAGGCTTGTTCCTTCTTAATTTATTTACTATAATTTTTACTACATTTGTTTATTTTGTCAACTTTATTTTTTAAAATCTAGCTTTTTTTAGATTCTAAAACTTGACTTGAATTTTGAAACCATTTTTAGAAATAGATAACAAAATATAAAAAACTAATGGGTAGGGATGGAACATTTATGGATTTAATTTTAAAAGCCGGAATGGTTATCAAATTGGTCACTTTAGGTGATGTAGTTCCATATTTCTTAGTCATTTTATTTGTTTTAGGGAGATTTTTTTTTCTTCACTAATCCTCGCTGATTCATTGCTTGATCAGTAGGAAGAAAATTCTCTTTTGTATTTCAGGTCGGAGTTAATGTTTATTTTTAATATAAAAAGAAGATTAAAATACTATTAGTCTCTGTACTCTTAACTTTTGTTTGTTTTAACCTTTGTACTTTCAAAACGACTATTTAGAACTATATGCTTTAAGAAATTTTACTTGTTGAAGAAGGAATGACCTTGATTTAAGAAATATTTGTGTAAATCGTAGCCTTGTGTAGCCTTGTGTTAAAGAGATATTTACATAATCTCATTAAAGAACTAGTTGATCTTCCTACTTTATCTGTATTATTACACGAGATTTAATTAGCTTTTTGTATTATAGAAGGTACATGTACGAAAAGTCACAAGATAATTTAGTCTAACAACAATATCGAAATGAGAAAAAGTCGAAAGTACTAAGACCGAAAAGAAAAATATGAAACTACTCTATATGATAAAAAAGAAAGGGTTGATGCAAAAACAATTACCAAGAGGATCCAACTAGGCACGTAAATGAGAGCCAACCCTACTTTACACTTTTTATCTTGCATGCCAAAGATCTTCTTATCCTTCCAAATCCCTCAAACGAAAACTAAAACCATGGTGGATTCCAACCTCCTAGCTTTAGGACGGAGATCAGATGTTCAAAAGGGAGGGATGAACTTTAGGCTGAAGGAGGACATTGAAGCTAAACGGAGAGACTTTCTTTTCAGCCCTGAAGGAGAAAATCGTAAACGATTGCTATCATCAACATATGAAGCCAGGTTATCAGCTATCTAGTCGGCATTGATTGGCACCCACCTCAAATCCTTGTCCATTTTTAGTTTTTTTTGGGCCTTTGTGGATAAAGGGCTCTTGAATCTGATGAGGGGATTTTTATGGGAAGGGCTGCAGGAAGGTGACCTGACTTGGTTAGTTATAATCTCTATTAGATGGTTTGATTTAAGAGTTGACAGTATTATTAAATGAACAACAGAACAGGAACCAAACTACAGATATGATCAAATTTGGAATCTACATCCATCATTTAAGTTTTCAGTTACATCATTATTCAATATTCTGATGGGAATAAGAGTCCTTGAAAGGTGACATTACAAAGTAATTTTTGGAAAAGGAAGAATTAGGAAAACGTAAGTTTTTACTTGGACCTCGACCCTCTATCACGAAAGGATTAACATAGTCAACAGAGATTCAATCAAGATGTCCCAAGATTTTCCTTAAACCCAAATTGGATTAATTCTCTAAAGAGGCTAAAGAAGACTAAGCTCGTCTATTCTTCCATCGTGCACATAACAGGAAATGTAAGGCATCATTAATGTTAGAATTGGTCTGCATTTGGATTTATGATAAGTTGGTAAGAAACGATATGGATCAGTAGGTAGGTGGATATATAATTTTGGAGGAAAGGCAAAAGTCTTAGGGCCGAATGCAATTACTCTCATTTGGGGTATATGGTTGGAAAAAGCAACAATGAAGTCTTTAATGGAATGAGTGTTGTTGGGTCGATGGTTCTTACTTACTAAGAAGGCTCTCTTCGAGACTCCAACAATAGGTAGGGCCTCTGAATTGACAACTTTCATTTTTCCTGAGTACTTCTCTATCTTTATTCTCAACCTGCAGGCTTCTTGGTCTAAGATGAAGTTATGGTCTAAGATGAAGGTATGGGTCGCACCTGAATCTACCAAGGTGTTCTTACTCGGTTGAGAATTGATCATAATATCGACAAACATTAGTCCTTTCTCGACTACTTCTTTTGGATCCACTTTCTTTTGTATGACCGATTAAAATTTTAGCGCTCCCATTCTGGGGGCATTGTGTTATTCTTCTTTATCAATTGCTGGTTCTGCTTCAAGGTCATTCCCTCCTTGTACCGAGACTTGAAGTGCAATGAGGGCTGCTCGTAGGAACAATGGAAAAGTCTGGGGGTGGCTTTTGCATAGAAGACACTTTAAGGGCATCGTCTGATTGTTCCTTTGGGGGTAGGATCCTCGAGAGGGGCCAACATTTAGGTTCTGAAGCGGTTTATCTGTTCCCCCACTTGGTCTATCATCCCCTCCATTCGGTCTATTGGTGCCCTCATTCCTCTGACCTATGGGCTTGTAAGGTGAGCCCTAGGCGTTTTGGGATGAAGTTTGTTTCTTTTGAAAATTCGCTTCCCCACCAAAATCTAGGAGTCTCTCCACGGGGCCAAATGCAGCGACAAGATCTTGAACTTTCTGTTCGTTAATTTTGTTCTTACCCATGGTTGAAATCCTTCGACTTCGACAAAGTAGAATACCTTGTCCTTCTCTGACATGCCCTTGATGTTCAACATCAACACGAAAAATTGTTTGACATAGTCTCTTATTCCTTCGGTGCGCCTTAATTACTGCAACTTCTGACTTGCAATGAATTTTACGTTCTCAGGGAAGAACTGAGTCCTCAACTCCTTCTTAAGATCTTCCCCTGAGTTAATGGCACATGATCCATTTTGGATGTTGTTCACCTTTGAATGCCACCATAGTTTTGCATCATCCGTTAGGTGCATCGTGGCCACGGTGACTTTAAGTTCTTCCAAACAGGTTCTCGTGGCTTTGAAATATTGCTCAACGTCGAAGATATAATTTTTGAGTTCTTTGGCATCTTGGTTCCCTTCGAAAGCCTTGGGGTGTTTAGCTTGTTAAGCCCAACCTGAGCTTGACCTAGGGTTTGATTCTCTACGGCCCTCATGGTCAAGTTTACTCGATATTCATTTTGCCCTTCTCTGTCTTGATGGCGTCTATTGTTGCCTTGAAATCTTCAGTCAACTCATTGAAAAGCTTCCGCATTATCTTTTGTGAACTATCTACCTCTTTGACACATTCTTCTATGCGTGCGACAGAGCTCTTACCTCCGCATTCTAAGCTACTCAGTCATGTAGCTCTTTCTTCTAAGGAGTCAACCCTAAATATGAATTCCTTGATTGGCACAACCCAACCAAACAAGTGCTCACAACATCGATTCCACCAAAATTTCATTTAGTTCGGCCGCTCGTTCTTCTAGGAAGCGAAATGTGTTGGGGACTTCTTTAAAGAACAACATTTCATGTTGAATCTCAGTGAGTTGCTCACCTTGCGACTTAGCCACCTATTTTGTTGCCGACATCGTTTCGGTCTTTAACGAGACTAGGAGCTAACGCAACTCTGATACCACTTATCACAATCGCACTCTTTTTGGCAGTGAGACAACGATTGTGCAACACTTGTTCTAATCCAGCAAACAAGTCAGCTATGTAAAAATCGTAATTCGTGGACAATCCAGACATATGGTTGATCCTCGAGCTACATTTTGAGAGAAAATGTTTAGAAAACATGAATGAGGAAAGTCGTTGAAAACAAGTTGAAAATAAACATTGTGAAAGTCAATTCCATAGAAAACACGTAGGCAAGAGCGATTACAATACTTGAACAGGGGAGGTCTGATGACTACTTGGTCCCCTTTAAAACATTTTGAGGTGATTCATGTCCGGCAAGAGTAGACACGATTTTGTTGAATGGTCATACAACAAAAATGCAATAAGAAAGTAATATAACATGAAAGCAAGTAAAGGGTAAAGGGTTTGGCGTGACACAGACAGGTGGTCACATACAACACGTCCTGGACAAGCATGACCATGACACTTTGCTTGATGTTCCTTTCTAGTTTTTTTATAATTACGCACCCCTTATTAAATTCAAACCATAGAGGGTTTTTGTAATTCTTCATTGGAGGAATAGGGAATGCATACTATTATAGATCTTTCCATTGAAAAGTGTCTTCTATTTCGAAGAATATATATTTTTTCCTCATCTGGTCCTCTTTTTGATGGATATCTCTTTTATTTGGCTAAGCTCTAGAAGTTGAAAGTTTTGAAGAAGAGTACGCACTTTTCTTGGTTGGGGCACTATATGGGAGGGTTAACACCATCTTTTTTTCCAGCAATTGGGAAGCGTACTAGTAAATTTACCTCCAGTTTTGGCCTTTTTTTACATCAAACCCAATGTTCTGTCAGTGGCCTTCTTTTTTTTTTTTTTTTTTTTTTTTTTTTTTTTTTTTTC